GTAATAAGAGTTCATGGTAAGGCCCCAGTACTCAATTAGCTTTTTTGATGGTTTGATAATGAATCACAAGTACTGATAGGTCTCTTTAATGCACGTCGTCAAAAACACTGTGTCACAAAATACGCGGGATGTCGTCATTCTTCTTTAGTTAGAATTTATTTTTAGTTCGTAATCAGCCATCGCGCAGTGTACTTATTTCACACCTTTCAAGTGTATAATTATTAGTTGCAAATCGGAACTATTAAACATTCTTAATAGTTATCATACTATCGTTTATAAGTGTAAGGAACACAGTACATCTTTATGTGGTCCTTCGAGCCGGATTGATATTGCAGTAAACAATAGTGGCGGGAAATAAAAATAGTCGTATTACACAGTGACAAAATTCTGTATGCTTACTACATTAACAAAATAATTTATATTTATTGCAGGTCGCAAAGAATCAGTTGATAGACGAGAAACGTTTCAGAATGGAGAGGAGACTTCAGAAGGCAGCGGAGAACAGGGATCAACATTTAAAGGTAATAAAATATAGACATAGCGAAACTCGTCAAAAACAAAATCAGAGTAATTTATTCTAGTTATGTCATCGTCAACATATTTATACGTTCCATTGCTGGACGTCACACATTTTCCGAGGGTTGTGAACTTTTTTCGACTTGCAGGTGTTATCACGATGTTTAAAGCCCATGGTTGAATTTCCCGCGGCTTATGCCGAATACAACCTTCCCAAAATGTGAAAAAAAAACAATAGTGAAACAAAAACTTTATACTAAAGGTTGTTTATATATTTTATACAGTTTCTGTGTACTTGGATGACAAAAATCCGTGGTAGTGACCCGTTTAGCTATTGCAGGTAGTCTCAGTCTAAGATGTTTGAAATAAATATTGTACATGTTAAATGTATTCCATGCGGGATGCACCTATGATTCAATGAAACTGCCGGTTGTATATACTGTGAAGATCTGGAGGCTGGTTTTTGTCTGGTAGGGTTGGCTCTTCTTCGGGTTTTTCTATGTGTTTCGAGCTTAGGCTGTTTTTGGACTATGAGTTTTTTGGCGCCAGTGCGCCTTTTATGGGTGAGCGAGCCTTCCTTTCCCACCAAAAGTTACCTCACCCTCGTCGTACTATTTATTCACGTTTCACGTATTCATTATGCTAATTTGTACATAACGTCTTAAAAACTATATAAGTGGTACATAACAACCTCAGTCAAGCGCCTGCAGGCGATTTGTGCCGGGGGGCCTACTTATACTACCCTGCCCCCCGCTTCAGGTATATAAGTAGTCGCCCTTGCTGCGCGCGAGTCGGATCAAGCAGGCATATTCTCTATTTTACTCATTATTTCAACTGAATACCTGTTTGATCCTTATTGGAATAAATCGAGACACATATACAAACTTTATTTAAGACTATTAGAACAAATTAGCGTAATACTTTGCACAACAAATAAACCTTGAACTATTTACTCAAATGTAACAACTTTATACAATGAACAAGTTTAATGCTACTCGTTGAGTGCAGCCGTACCGAACATATTCAAATGTATATTTAAAAGAGCAACTCCTAGAGTTTCTTACTCATTCTTCTCAGAGGACTCTGCCTTACGAATGAGCAGTAGAGTTTAATTAGCATGACGATTTCAAGGGTAAATTCCTTACCTGTGATATAAAGATGATTTGAATTTGTGCCCTATTTCATCCGGTCCACAGCCAGGAAACAAAAAAGTAACGAGAACGGAGACTCTCCGCCTCTCCCTAGATTTAGATACCGCACCACGCCCCTCACATTACCGGGTCACTTTGACTGAACGACAACAAGGCTGTCGGCGAGCAATTTTCGCGCTAAGACGGCTTTGATATTTGAATATAGTATTTATTTATTCATTACGAAACTTGACGTTAATATATAACATCGTTATACGTTACTATTTATAATGGTCTAAACGGGATAAAGAGACCCATTTCTTTCGTTTTCCGAAAAATGAAACGAAGATGAAAAAATTTATGTCTGAGACTCATTCAGTTATTATTTTTACTTCATTTATTTGTGCAGAGTAAAATATAATACAGATTTATCATATCAATATAATGAGACGCCATAACTTTGTGAGCTAGTAGACAAAGGTTCTGGAATTTTCAATTTGTATTGCCGATAAATATTACGTAGTGAATATACCTAATTATTAACTAGGTAATGATAAAATTGGACACGTAATTTTAAATACCTTGGTTACTGTATTTAAAAGTACGCACCTGTCCAAAATACAACATTTCAAGCGGTTTTAATATATTTTTAAAACAAGTTTTCAATATTATTCTAGTTAGTGAATTAATAAAAAATATAATATTAATCCATATAAATACCCAATGAACATTATTGGGATTCTATTAATAGAGTTATTGGTAACAGATTTGCTTAAGAATTTTCGCTGTGTTGCCACACTGACGACGTAACGCAATAGTACAAGAAAGTGATGGGTAAGCCTGCCACTTCACGCACACATTTGCGTGTGTGCAGATAGCGCTTTGCTGTATGTAGTAGTAGTAGGTAAATAACTTTCGATCGTTGTGTGGAGTGTTCAGGGTGTGCCACAGCTTAATTCATCCATTTCCTGCAAGCAATCCATCGCAGGCTTTTATTTCCAAGTTGAGATCAACTTGCAAACCCGTTTTCCCCATCGGTTATCGCTTTTTCGATATATGTATACATATAACCAACACACGGTCTCTTCAGCAAATGTACAGTGTTTTCATTTTCTTAATTTTCAGGACATAGTCCGCAAAGCGCACGATGAGGAAGAGAAACTCCGCGAGATCGCATTCATCAAACAACTTGAAGCTGAGAACAGAAGACATGAATTTTTGGACCAGTGCCGCTCACATACCACGCGGTTGAGGCTCATGAGACGAGATCGACTCAATAAGTTGGTAAGTTTTGTATTGAAAGATTTTTCACCTCACTAGCTCGGAAAGGCTTTCTTTTTCATTAGAAATCTGCGCTCAAAAGCGTTTTTTCCAGGGTGGAACGTTAGCCAAGTTTTGTGTAGTCAATGTTACACTGTGTATGAAGGCCGGTTAATAAGAAATTATGAACGAGATCTATTAGATTAGAGTCTATCAGCTTTTGGAGTCGAGGTTCGTTCGTTGAAATACATAATGTTTTTTATGACATTTGTGAGTAAATAGTGTGTTTGTAAGCAGGCTTATTTGATTATATTGTCCCAAAATAAAATGTTAGGGCCTTTTTCTTTTCATTACAACCATGGTTGTGCAATGAGAAGAGAAATGGTAAGTAGTTTCAATAAAAAATGTGCTTACGTGTGGACCATATTCATAACGAAAATGTTGCGTTCTAAGGCACCGAGTGTATAATCAGAAATATAGACGAAATGTTATTTACTTTGTTTGAAATCTATTCTGCTATATCATTACAGAGAGTAAAATTTTGCGTTCAGCAATTATACAATATTGAATTTTATATATTTTGAGTTACGAAACTTGTAATAGCAGTGCGGTATGATTAATGGGCAATTCATATATAGGAGATTACACGCTATTATGTGAGCTGATTACCTACGACTCAGGACAAAATCTGTTTAGTGTTTATAATGGAGTGGGCTGCACTTTTGTTGGCTCGTGAGGTCAGTATTCCGTGCTAAGTTGGGGACCCTTCTTGCGCGCCTACCCTCTCTTCTTGCGTAGTACACGCGATACAAATCTCACAATCGGTTTCATTATAAAATAAGTAAGTTCTATTTTGTTTGTTGTAAATATTGGACACCGTATTACATATATTTACCACTGTATATGTATATGTATCAATAGTTACTTTTGATACAAGTGCGGAAAGTTAGTCATTATTCACGAGTCTCGAGGCATCTTGGCCCGAGCCAGGGGCGAGGGTTAAGACTCGAGACAAGTGAAAATGACAAATCCGCATGTGTATCAAACAACGTTTTTTAATGCATTTGCGAAAAACCTACATTGAAAGTAAAATAAAACAGTATTTAAAAAAAACCTCATTTTATTCCTTTGTCAATAACAAAAACAAATCGTAAAAAAGTTAATGAAAAAGGCGGGAATGTAAACGATGAATAAAATTGGTACTTTTTTGGCCGACTTTTTTCAATATGGCAACTGTTGCCAGTATTCAGCCACATTAAAATTACTATTTTATATTACTTTATTTTCTACATAATTGCTACTAAGGAGCATTTACTTCATAGGTGTAAAAATGCGGTCTCTCCATAGATATAGTATAGTAATGACGAATGATTTACGTCACAAAGCACATAAATATGAAATAAATATACAATCTCTTTAGTTCTATGTTTAAGACTTAAAACAACAGTAAATTAAAAAAAAACTAGAAAAGTAAAAAGCACTAGTGCGAGAAATCCAACTTTCCGCACGATTTGTAGTGCGAAAAATACCACGTTTTGAGCAATTGTATTAAAAAATCATTATTTAAGTATTTTATAGATATAGCCGAACACAACACACTACATTATAGAAATATTTATGTAATTTATTTAAGTTTACACACCCGTCCGGTACTCACTCGGTTTTAGGGCCCACTGAGAATCAGCGTCACAGCCTTTCTGCCGGCGGTGACAATAGCCTACGCCACAGCCGCACCCATGACGTTCAGTCTAATTGTGCTGAATATTGAATGTGTTACTGCGCCCGTTTCTGTCGTGGCGTGGCAAGAAGCGACTCGTACATTCGACCGTCGTGCCGCAGGAGCAGAAGGCGGCGCGCGAGGCGGCCGTGGGGCTGCGGCGCCAGGCGCTGGAGGAGGCGCGGCGCCTGCACGTGCAGACGCTGCTGGAGCGCCGGCGCGAGCGCGACGCGCGCCGCCGCCAGCTGCAGGAGCTGCGCCGCCAGCAGCGGGGCGACGCCGCGCGCGAGAAGGTGAGCCTCGCCCTTCCGAGACTGCTTCTGCCTCGTTGCAGGAGCTGCAGTGGCCGTGGTTCGAATTCAGGCTCGCACCTCTGAGTTTCTTGGAATTTATGTGCAATATTCTATTTGAAATTTATCATGATGAAATCTGCGCGTTGAAGAAGATCCCCAATCCGCATTGGGCCAGCGTAGCAGACTATGGCCCGAACCCCGTGGCCGGCAGTGGGACGTATAAAAAGGTTGATGATGATGATGAACCAATCACAAAGGAATAAAACGTTTGAATAGATTTATTTTTGTTAGCAAAAATACGAAGATTCTTTTTTCGAAAGTCTGAATTTAAAAAATACTACAACTAAATTTTAAAAAACCCAGTGTACTACCAAAATTCAATTCAATTCAAGTAATAATACAGATTCAAACCTGTAATGAACCTATACACACGACGTACCTTATACGCATCGTAACCGCGCGTTTTGATAAAATATAGTTTTACTTTAATTTTGTTTGTTAATTTCAGTTAGTTTTTTGAAATGAAACAACTACATGAATGGCTAAGTATAAACTCTATTTTTTTGTGCGTCTTTCATTCACTGCGACGCTTATACGCGCAGATTACACGCATTCACGACGCGTATAGAATATTCCTTGTGCATAAGTTCTTACCCGAGGACCACGAGCCGTGACGTTCCTAGCGAATTCGCTTGACGCTACAAGCGTCAGCGTCGAGCGTTCAAAACAAATATATGATTTTATTTGTAGATTAGATTAGATTAATGTTTATTTGCCAAAATACAGTAAATATACAGGTCTTAAATTAAATTGGTACAATGTATTCAACCTGCAAGCAGGTGTGCAAATATATTGGAATTTATTGGTACAGGTAATTGAAGTTAATTAAAATGTCAAATATTTCTAAATTCAAAGTATTCCTTATTACTATAGAAGCAATGTGTCATAAGCCATCTTGTCAATTGTAGTTTAAAATTATGTCCGTGTAGTAATTTAATGTCACTTGGTAAATTATTCAAAATCTTAATGCACATGTTGTAGCAGTTATTTGTGTAAATTATTTTATGGCAACGAGGTTGATATAATTGATTCATAATTTTATGCCGTGTTTGTCTTTGAAATATTTCGCCACATATTTTAAAATGTTTAAGATTAGTCTTAACAAACACACGAAAAAGACATTGACCTACCAATAAATGGACGTCGGGTTCGCGCTAAAAAGTGTCCGCACCTATAGGGCGTTAAAATCGCATACAGAGCGTCAATCGCAGAACAGTCTTCATTTGTTCAACTGACAGCGCGGTTGTCAATCATGAAGTACCAAAAATAATAACTTGTAAAAATTACTGCAGTAAAGTGTGTTTTGTACCATATTTTGTTACATATTCATTGTTTTTCTCGTTTTATTTGCCCGAAATAACATTAGCTCGAATTTTCATAACGTCAAATATTTTTTTAAGAAGATTACAAAACAAAAGCTAACAGTTTTGGCTTTGTGAAAAGCATCAAAATTACTCGAAAGCGTAACGGTTTTATTACAAATCAGTTTTCAGAATTACGGATATTTGAATTTACATTTAGTTGGAATATCGGTACATTTCTTATAATACACGCTTATTTTTACATTTATAGTAATATTTGTATGTATGTATCTGCCCAACTCTTTATTATAATGCTTGAGTGAATTTGTACAAAATTCGACATAATAATATGTATAAAAATTAATTAATATTTACGAGAAAGGCTACTCCATTACTCTTATGTTCAAGTATTTTTCAGTCGAAGCTAAATATGGTGTATTTTGTTAAGTTTCCATTAGAAGCTGAATATGGTGTTTTTGAGCCCTTAAATTGTTGCAAGCAAAATTAGACAGTACTGCAATGACGTTACAATTTAAATTAAATGTTTTAAGTTTTTTATAGTTCGTTACATGTCACCACGTTTGTATAGGTTAACATCGGACATTTTTTTCGTTGATTTTTGTATTAAACCCGATGTCCATTTATTGGTAGGTCAATGGTAAAAGACCACAAAGTAGCGCTGCAACTTGCAGCGAAATTCGCTACGAGCGAATTTGCACGACCGTTACGCGCGTTTTTTCAGGCGCGCAGAACAATTGTATGAGAAAGTTCCGTAGTGTGCACAAAACGGTCGCTCCACGTGCCCCGACAGGAGCGGTCGCACCGCACGAAATATGAATACAAAAGAGTTACAAGATCGGCCTGTGTTATGGATGAGTTCACATCCACAACATAAGATCAGGAATGTCGTAAAACAGTTGTGGGAAGAAATTAAAATTCTTCTATAGAATATAGAATCACCACATTTTCCCCACATCGCGCCAATCACCACAAAATCTTTAATCGAGTTGAAATTCGTTGAACGACACTCGGTGTGTTATTGTCGTTTATATAAATAAACGGAATTCGATCCGCCGCCGACCCGCAACCTCTCTGTGTATTCCACGCTTTAATGTTTCAATTGGCAAAAATATGTTTTTTTTTTAATTCAGCACCGAGTGCACTAAACAATAGGATATTGGTTCAAAACTAAAAACTGCTCCTTTGTGATATGGCTTTTGAAATTATAATTGACAGATTAAAGTACATGAGTAGAAAAATATAATTGAAGGTACATTGATTATCACAAAATAATAATCAAGAGACTAAACTAAGTGTAACATAAGTTCCCACAGAAAAAAAAACCGTCCAAAAATCCAATCCAAAGATCCGCAATGAACACAGAAAAATTGAGATCTGCTGGCTAATTGGGTAACCACGTTGAAGTGAACTATGTATCAATAATAATAACAAACTGGTGGAGTATTTAAAAAAAATGTAATAACTTGTTAAAAATGATACGTCACACTTTTGTTATTAATAAACTATAAATACTTGGGCAAACATAAACGCAATAAATCGGTCAATAACTCATTTTCATCAGTACTGGATACATTATTATGATACATTGATAACCTTTGATGCAGCTTATAAATATCAGCATACAAATAAAACACTCAAATTCCCCTTAAAAAATGTAAATAAAGGACAAATCAGTATAAAAGGAAAAAAAATGACGCCCAACGTGGGGCTCGAACCCACGACCCTGAGATTAAGAGTCTCATGCTCTACCGACTGAGCTAGCCGGGCTGTGAAAGACCGACCCGAAATTAACAATCATATTGAAATCACAACTGCACATGCAGTCAACAGCACATCAAGTTATATTTTGTGTAGCTGCTGACAGAACATAACAATAATGTATTTCTTTAATAGTGTACAAACACGTTTTAATCTATGTACAGAACAATAACAACAATACGTACACACTCATAACCCGCGCTAGGGAAACCACACACACACATACATAGATAATAATTTAAAAGTTAGTAGATAATAATAATGTGCCTAACAACCACACCAATTACCCGATCACAAACTACGAGAATTGACTCTACTATGAGTACCAGAGCAACAAAATTCCCTTCCGGGTTCAACCCGTAACTCCAGAACTGATTTTGAAAAGTTCATTTCAGGATTTGGGTCCCACCGGGAATCGAACCCTCCTCCTCTTCTCCTCATTCTGCACCCACAGTGTAAATCGTGGACTAAGGTCATCATAAATAAACTCATTCTGTTTAGTATAACAATGTTCACAATGGAAGATTATTCTATTTTCATTCGATTTTACATAACTACACTAATGCCGCTGATATCAATAGAATCTTTGTCCTGCAGAAACGTGCAGTTAGGGCAATTTACAATCTGGGCCCCAAAGTATCTTTGAGAGATAAGTTTAAGGAAATTAACATTCTTACACTAGCCTCACAGTACATTTATGAAAATGTAATTTATGTTAAAAGGAATAGTAATTTATTTATGAAAAATAGTGACAGACATAACATTAATACGAGGAATAGAAATAAACTAGCTTTTCTTGATAGTCGTCTTCACAAAGTCAAAAAATCATTTAAGGGGCAATGTATACGCTTCTATAACAAGATTCCGGTTGATATACAAAATTTGCCTTTCACGAGGTTTAAAACTATAGTGAAACAAAAACTTTATACTAAAGGTTATTATACAACTTCTGCGTACTTGGATGACAAAAATCCGTGGTAGTAACCCGTTTAGCTCATGGAGGTAGTCTCGATCTCTGATGTTTCAAATAAAAATAAAAAAATATTGTAAATGCTATTTACAAAGAGCAACCCCTAGAGTTTCTTGCTCATTCTTCTCAGGGGAATCTGCCTTACGAATGAGCGGTAGAGTTTAACCATTGTGACGATTTCAAGTGTAATAATGCTTACCTATGAAATAAAGATTATTTTGAGTTTGAGTTTGAGTTTGACACCTCTAGAAACTTCAAATTTCAAACCTCAGCGTACCCATGTTATGAGAAATGAACTATAGTGTGTTGTCTGGCACATTATTCTTGATAACTTAACACTTGAAATATAGGTGTTAACTATATAACTATCTCTTGTTAAATGGATCGTCTTACATAGGTACCTCTTTCTGTAACTTTATCGAAAGTGCAGTACCACAGCTACAACCTTATGCCGCAGGCGGAAGGCGTAAAATCCCGCCTATCAGCGCTGGCAGCCGCTGCCGAACTGGAAGCGGACGCTCTACGATCCCGTATCAGAGACAAGCAAGACGCCAGTCAACAACGCCTGGACAAGCATCTGCAGGCCATTAGGGAGAAAGCTACGGGACCTAGGCAGAACGTAAGTCAATAATACTAGATAACCAAGGGATTATGAAGCGTATAACTAACTATAAACGTTTGTTGCCTGCAAATAAATAAAATCATAAGTTTTTAACATTCTAGACAACATCGGAGAGTCAAGATCAGAAAGACGAAGAACAGAACGAGGCCGAACGGCTCGAGCAGGAGCGGAAAGAAAGAGAAAAACAAAAGGCGATCAAGAAGAAAGCCAGGAAAGTCAAGCAGAAGTTAATGGCTATGTAAGTTCGACATTAAAAAAATATCAGTTGAATTTATTAATTTATTTTAGATTGGGAACTAAAAGCTATTGTTACAAGTTGTAATTATAAGGATGTTGTGAAACATGTTGTTATTCCGCCAAAATCAGTACGCCCCACACCAGCCAAGAGTTCCTTGAATGTGTGCGTACAAACCTGTCACATACAAATTGCGCTGCTACGTTTGTGTGGAATTAACATACCTGTATTATTTATACTATGTTAATACTTACTTACTTTCCAGGAGCTGCGAACCAACAGGCGATTCGGCAGTCCCCGATTCAATTCAACACACATATAAAATGCACAAAGCATTACATCAACTTACAAGCATTTTAATGCCCCTCCTGGAAGAAAGCGGTAAACCAAACCACGTTGCAGATGAAAACGACAAAAACAAAAAGAAAAACAAGTCTAATAACAATAAATTAGTCAATGGCAATGATACCAGTAAAATAAAAAATAAAGACACGGAAAACGACAACAAAGCCGTTATAAATAACGACACCGTTTTAAATAACGGAAATGCCGTTACTGTTATGTATAACGTTGAGAATTTTAACAACAATAACCACACTGACGTTATTATGGCTGATGAAGTGAAGACCGAGAACGGCAAGAAGAAAAATAAAAAACACAAAAATCATAACGAGAAAGACAAGCCGAAGTTAAGCAAGAGCAGTTCTGTTTGTAGTTCACTGAGTGATATGAGCAAAGCGAGCAACAAAGGCGAGAAAAAACCCCAAATGAATATAGACGCGATGTTTCTAGAGCGTCTATTGAATGAATTGCATAGGATTGTTGAGAAAATCGACTTGGTGAGTCAACTTAAATATTCCCAGGTTAGTTGAAACTAACATCATTGTTCGGTGTTGTATGTATGCATGATAATAATGTCATACTAATATTTTTTTTATAATATTAAGTAACGGGACGAATAAGGCGAGCACCTGGCGGTGAGCGACACGTTTGTCACGCCATTACTGTCACGGTCACGGTACCTCCACTGTGTTCGTCACCCTGAGACAAGTTTACTAAGTCCCATGTGCCTGTAATTTCACCAGCACCCTTACCCTTCAAAACCGAAACGTAGTATTGCTGACATTACTGCTTCGCGGCAGAAATAGGTAAGGTGGCAGTACTACCTTGAACGAACTCTTAACCACAAATAACAGTTATTAAGGCTTTAATAAATTAATGCGAAAAAATGAATATTAGTAAAATATAAGTAATAAATGAATGTGATTAAATGATCATAATGTCGGTGTTTTGTAGAAAGGGCGAAAGCACCATTTGCAAAAAAAATCAGGGGAGCATGTTTTACACGATATTTCAACTTTTCCGTTGTCGCAGCACGATGTCAGAGCAAAAACAAATGACGCGAAAACAAATGATTAAGAAATTGAAAAATAGAACTGTAACTACCTTTAAAATAAAGTAGAATTTGGAATTCCAATTCAAACGCCAGATATTTGAGTTCAAAGTGACCAGTATTAATGTATACGTCCTGTTTTAAATTCAATATTGAATTTTAAAACAGGACGTAAATAATTTAAAACAATCGTGAAAACCGCTTTAGAAAGCGCTTTCGCCCTTTCTACTAAACACCGACTACTGTAAATAATTGAAGGAATGAATATAAATAACCATCAAAAAAATTGCATATGAGATTTTCTTGCAGTCGCGCGAGCAGCAGGCGTCTGTGGTAGCGCAGAAGCGGGTATGGCTTAAGACTATCAACTATCTGATTGCCGTGCCTGCTGAGCGGGACGACTTGGCTTCACAGTTCTCCGCCAAGTTAGTTTATTAATAATAATAATGCAACAATATTTTTTTTAATGTTATTTTTCATTTCATGGTATTCCTATAATTTTAGATGCTATGTTATTTAGATTTATTGATATATGATATTATTCAGATGATTTAGATTGGTTCGCATGATTGACCCTCCCGATCGGTGTCATAAAAATACAGAATATTTTTTTCTAAGTTCATCGCTTCGAGTTCCAGTTCAGACTTACTTTTAAAAATAGAATAGTCGCCGATAATTAAAATTTTCTATTGTCAATAATAGCAATCTTGATCCTTTTTTCGGTGAGATTCTAGAAACGCCAGATACTTTTAATGGCAGATTCTTCAAACGTCATATGTACAGTCAAACAAACAAAAACGTGAAACATTTCCGTAAGTTCAATTGACTGTTACATTCGTACCTCATAAAAATATAGCTGATTTGCAGTTTGCGTAGACCTTTTAAAAGCCGTTCACCTTTTTTCTCTTAGTAAAATTGTACCATGACGTGCCATCATTTGTCATGTTATTTAAGCCGCCAAAAAAAGCAGAGTAACTGAGTGAGATGATGATGTGGGCAGATATTACAAAATAACGTATTTATGTGTAATTGATAATAAAATTATTTTGGAAAACATAATATTTTTTCGCTTCGAAGCTCATAGTAGGCCTTTAGTGCATTAAGCTCATTATACGCGAAACAATTTCGGTTTTGTTTTTATAAATAAAAATAAGTGCGCATCTAACTTCCATCTCAGCTGATGGTAAGTGACGATAAGGTCGACGATGGATACCTAATTAATGCCTATTCACTCTCGCCTTAAAAAGGCCCAGGTTTATAGCCTACCCTACCCCGAAACCCCAGCCTACGTCTAGTCCCCCGATGGTGGAAAGGGGAAAGCGGTGTTTTTGCATTAGCATACCTAACTGTTCACCATACAAGTGCTCATGTTCATCAACCAGTTTGGTGGAACCTTAGGCCGCCAGGAGTGACCAGGAACACGTGTAAAACAGCCTCAGCTAACCCAAACCTTCGTTTCAGGTGCCTCACAACAGGCGTGATGATTATATCGCGTCTGATCTCCCAGTGCGTGGAAACCGCCACCTACCTCCTCACCACGAACCTCGCCGTGCACCTCATCAAGCTTCTCAGTGACCAGATGGTGAGTACCCCTTGTACGGTGGGCCCTACCTGTGGCTGTAACATGACAGTATATCATATGCAATGCATGATAAACCTCCCCGTGACATATTTATTTAGTTGATAAAGCTGTGTTGCCATTATTTTTTTATTGCGATTATTGTATTGGGAAGATACGGCACTAGAGTCACTTGTTCTTTTGTTTCTTTGGTAATGAACTATTGTTGTATATTTGGAGGGACAAGGATAACGGTATGAAATTATATATATATATATATATATATATATATATATATATATATTGCTCCGTAAATGCTTCTCTAGAGCTTACTCGGTCGTCGTATGCACACATCTGTGGCCGTAGCATGGCAGAATATGTGTGATAAACCTCCCCGCGATAATATTTAATTCAGTTGATAAATCTTAGGGTCGTATTCTAGAACTCTACTTAATGCTCAAGTCAGAATTTGAATATGGTTTAAAGCACTTGAAATCATACTCAAGTCCCTGACATTAGGGTCGTATTTCCAGTGCTTGAAATTATACTCTGATCCTGACTTGAGCAATGAGTAGAGTTCTGGAATATGACCCTAAGTTCGCTTATTAGCAATCTTTGTCGTTTAATCATCGCCGCGAAAATTATACAAAAAAAATTTAAAATATCACTCGAATTTGACAGCTAAATAGTGGATATAATAGCTTTATCGAGGCGGAGTACTACGGTGGCTGAAGTGTATTGGGATCAAGGTTGCTTTTTAAAATTTTTGTTTACTGTATAAATGAAAAGAGAAATATCTATGTAAGTTTGTTAAAATAATAATGTTTTTTTCTAAATTACGGAATTAACCAAGAAAGAACCATTGAAAAAAATGTAAAAACTAGTTTTTTAGTAATAGGCAAAAACGTGCTTGATCTCTAGACACTTTTGATGTGTGTGTGTATGTGTGTGATCAGGTTTCTTACCGTGGTAAGAAACCTGATATTAGTGAATAACCACGAAAGTCTTAAAATCTGTAAACTAAGATGATGAAATTTTCTTCATGAAGTTTGCAACTCATCCGAACGAAATTTGTTCTACAAATTTCGTTAATTGTTCTTCGCTGTGGATATCAGATCGACCGGTGTTCGATTTTATATGTCCGAAACGATAGATAGGCCTTATTTTAAATAACGAGATTATGTATTTATCATATCTTCGTTGTATAATCACATCAGACTCTGTTTTTCGGATGAGTCGTTTTGCACCCTTAACTAAGAAGACTTAAGGTCGTAAATTTGTATTCCCTTATATATAAATACGATTGCGTTCGCAAGCACGGAAGTTAATTTTGAGATACGTAGAAGACACTGAAAAAAACCTCCTTTTGAAGTCAGCTATAGTCGGGTAAAATAAATCCAAAAGTTATTTGTTTTCCTACTAAAGTTCTTGAACCCTCTACTATTTATTGATGAATAAACAAAAACTCATACAATCGAAACTATTGTCTCAAATAATTTCCGTAAAAACAAATAAAATCCATACTTTATTGCTATACTTCTGACGTCTATGATGAAATTGAGCAACGGGAAGGGGTTAGCAACATTTTCCGGATAGTTTATTTTGATGTCCCCAATCAGATGTTGTTAACCTTTTTGCTAGTTTGTTCAATCTCGTTACGTCAATTTTATTACTTTGCTGTTTTTAGTTCACGGGGTGAAAGTCTTTGTGTGCATCTGAAAAAAACGGTATTTTTGCTTTGTTATAAAATACATACAATACGTCCGGTTCTGAGCTTGCAACTCTTAGTCACTTGTACGAAGGTTCTTCAGGTCTTTCTGGACTTCATCGTTATAATTACAACAACATAATAATATCAATTTCAGGTGGTTACATTTCTGTAGCGTGTCGTTTCCAGAAAGCTGTGCTACTTAAATCGGCACGTATCGATGGCCGGTTCTTGAACGTGAGTCCCTAACCTCGACCGGCTGTGTTTCGTCTTAAAGTGCCTCTCCACTACTGCCGGTTGGCCGTCAATATGGCAAATTTTTCCCTGTCCATGGCCGACGAACAAGTTGACGACAAAAAAACGAAACAGTTGTTCCTCGCTTGTGACTCCGGTCCGTCCCTTATGCTTCGTAACCAAGAATTGTTACGTCTTCCAGCGCATATCTTGCCTTCAACCTTGTGTTTTTTTTGTGTAACTGCCTCCGTGGTCGAACAGTTGCCATGCCAGACTGCCACGCAGAAGTTCCGGGTTCGATTCCCGGGCCGAGAGTAATATTTGTACGGCCTACATTTATTTCTCCCGTGAGTTTGGGTTTAATTTGTGGTTGTCTATGTATGTGTCCATGGCACCCGCGACACAGGGTTTCCCTAGTGCGGATTTATGTTCAATGTGTGCGTTATTATCATTTGTTGGATCCCGGCTGAATCCGTCTCAAAGCGGACTAGTCTTGAAGTGAAACTCGTAATCTTTCGTTTATTGAAGCTTCTTATTCTTAAGTGCACTGTATACACTTCTATTCTTGAACGAACACTTTATCCTAATAATCGTGACCGATGTCTATCTGACGTAGTTCCATAATCTAACAAGTCACAAATATGAATGAATTCGGATCAAAACATTATTACAAAATTCACTTATATACATATATACCGATACGGTGTTTTCCACACCGTACCGGTCCCATTAATGCGCCGCAGACGCCACGCGGTCAATCAGAGCCCCTGAATTGTTTACGTAATTCTACTCATATTTGCTCTGACCGGCCAGGCGCATACGGCCGTCCGCTACCGCAACAGTGTTAATACGCAGGAGTACTGTCTTGTTCTTGTCTTTCTGTATCCAGCTGATACGAAGCATGTGGCGGTAGCACTACATATCGAATGCGTCAAGTTTCGTTTTTGATGGATCATGACTCGTTGCCTTACATAACGATAGGCTGGATGTAACAGTGGAGGATGTGGATTCTAAGTTGCATCCAAAGTTTTAGGCAGCCGGGTGTGCTGTGCTAAAAATTCAACATTTGTCTGTTAGGTAATTATAGATTAAAAGGCAAAGATTATATAGTTAGATAATAAAGGCAAGATTCTAAAAAAAATTACAATAATTTATGATTTCAAGGTACTGTCAAAACTTGTATCGAATTTATTTAATTAGTATCTAATGTAACCTAACCTAAAATTCAGAGCTTGACGGTTTGAATCCCTATGAGTGCATTTATTTATAGCTTTAATTTCTAAGTTATTTACATGATTTATTATTATTATTTACAATTTTTGTGCCATTTGTTCGCCACCCATTATTGGAGCGAGCCGCTCGTCAATGCAACCTGCAAGCCTTTCTTCTTCTTCATCTTCTCGGAAAGGGTACGTCGCCTCTTTGTAATTTTGAGAGGGGTCCTAGATAGGTGACTAGAAGAAACCCTGTTTTAGAAGTAACCCGTGGAACGTAAAATGGGTTGATAATAATTAATAATGATGATGAAATGTTGATGATGAAATTTGACCTGCCAGGGGATATAATAAATATCTTTAGGTTTTGGTATGACA